GCATCCCAGAAGGCCAAGCGGCCGCAGGCACCCGAGCGCAAGCGACAGACACGCGAGGAAGAACGAGAAGAAGCAAACAAGGAAAAGGCAGAAAAGAAACAAAACGCGAACGGCCGGGGGGCGCGGGACAAAAAACCGGCGACCGCGGACGACCCCAACACCTCTTAGAGCGAAAGAAGCGAGTCACGAGCATGCCTCCGTGCGCCGTACTCACGGGGGGCGAAGGCGGAGAGCGGAGACGAGCTCGGGAGCACCCAAAAAGCAAACAAAAAAAAAAGAAGAGAAGAAGGAAGAAGAAGAGAGAGAGAAGATGAGAAGAAGGGAAGAGAAAGAAGAAAAGAGAAGAGCAGAAAAGAAAACAGAAATAGGAGAACCGAACCAGAGAACAAGAAACCTAAACAAACAAAAAGAAGAGTAAGAGAGTAGAGAACGGAAGAAAGAGGAAGCCAAGAGGAGAGAGAGGAGATGAACAGAAGATGAAACAAAAGAGGCAATAGAAAATGCAAATAAAAATGAGAGAGGCAGAAATTGCGTAGAGTAATATAAGAGAGAGACCGAATGTGAGGAGAAGAGAGAAGGAGAGAGACACCATTCACTTAACTCGCCATCACCGCTAACCATGATATTAAGTAAAGGACTCCGAAACATGTTACGAAAGTCAGACTCAAGAGAGATGACAGAGAGAATGGAAGAAGAAAAAGAGAGACCATATGACCTTAAAGACCCCAACAGCCTACTCACCTTCCTCCATCCCTTCACCCCCATCAAGAGGAACTCGAGGAACCCAAAAGATTCAACAACCGACTGAAACTTTCCATACAGACTCACGCTCAGTCACCAAACACAAGCGATACAACATCCGACACACTCCCACCAAACAACAGAACCCTCTCTCTCACTCCTCCTCCCCCCCCTAACTCCACCGATTTCTCCACCCAAACATGTCCACCCAAATACTCGTCTTCTTCTGCAATTCCTCCCTGCACCCCCTCAACCACAAGAGAAAAAAGAAGCAAAGAAAAAAAGACCTGAACGTACCTTCATCACAGACATCTACATAGCTATCTTGTCCACATTCTGATCCATTTAAGAGAGAAAGAAAGACCAACAGGAAGACAAAAAAAGAAGACAAACAAATACAAGAAAAAAAAGAACCTTCCTTCATAAGAGTCTCATACCTGCAAGCCACGAGAAAGAAGAATGTATAGAATCCTGACCAAACATAGAGAGACAGACACGAAAGCCACACAACATCACAAGAGCGACAACAACCTAGAGCAGAACCTAGTAAAGACAAGACAGACCCGCCACCAAGAGCAGTACAAGCATACATACACAGCCACACAGACGAACTAGGACACAAACTAGATCGACTCAGAGAAAAATAAACAGGCATACACACTAACACGCGCAGAGCGACTCATAACAAACAGAGAAGAAATCGAGTTCCTCGACACCCATTGCTTCAACAACTACACCTCACTACTCATGATCATCAAGCAACCATATCACACACAGAGAAACAACGCAAGAATAAAAAGCAAAACAGCAATCACAACCAATAAAAATTACAACGAACAATATCCCAGCTGCGCAACAAACAGAACATAAACACCAAATAAACAAGAAACCTACCTGCACATAACACCGCAAATAAAACAGACCGGCAAAGACAGAAGTACTCTAATAATATCACCAACGACTATCTCAACATAAAACAGACAAATCGAAGTGCAGAAAACTCATATATATCAAACAAACCACACACAAATAAAACTAATAAAAAACACACACGAACATCACGAAAAACAACGGGAATACTATACTAACAGCACACAAATAAGACGAGCTATGAAGATGACACTAAAATAAATAAGACCACATCAATCAAACCCATGAGCAGAAGCCTACTAAAGAAGCGTGTAGAAGAACGAGTGATAGTAAACGCGTGAAACGAGCCCAGTAGATAAGAGCTAAGTAAAAAGAACAAAAAAGTCAAGAAGCCCACAGATAATCAAACATGACAGAAGATGGCAGCCTAGCTTATTGAGACAACGACAATATAACCTAACAAGCTATAAATACACAAACGACCAAGCATTACTCAAGCATAGATGGAGATTAAAATGGCAGCATGGGACAAATCAAGAGCAGAACTAATCAAACAACACAAAAAGATATCCACAATATCGCTATCAACATATACGAACCAAGAGAGAAGAGAACAAGCAGTAGACAGCGAAAAAGAACAAGAAAGCCAAAGAAACACCCACACAGTAGCCATAGAACGGATGAGAAGTGAGAATGAAAAACCACAGATACAAAGAATAAGAAACATATAACACAATCCAAGTTTAAGAAATAGCAAAATAAAAAGAATATAACAACTATAAAATAACTAACAAAGAACATCAGACACCGTAAACCACCACAACAACAAACACAATCAATCCACCCACCAAAACATAAGCCCAGCGTGTATACACCAAAAGAACAAACACTAAGATAAATACCTCCACACAATGACATATTACACGAGCGATACAATAAAAATAAATGATACAATGAACATCACATGCCACAACCCTTATGCCAACCCGTACCATCTGAACCCACAGACGCCAACCGCAGGACCACCGGCAAGGCAACAACAGCACAGCAAGGCGGGGCACACAGCCGCTATCTCACCGTACTCCAGCACTCTCTCGCCTCAACTACCTCTTCACGTCCGTCCTCAGCAATCCGCACAAACATCCCATCCCTCATCTAAACAAAAACAACGGCCGACAACTATTGAAGAAGTCAGCAAAATCCAAAACACGCAGCATACCGTCCAGTTCTCAGCGTCTGCAACAACACACAACCGTCTTAAAGCCAAACCCACACAAATACCGCTCTCGCAGTGCTCTGAAGCGAGACACAGCTGACAAAAAAGATATCCACGTCCTGCACATACACGACTACCAACAAACATGACTCCAAACAGAGTGCCGCGGTGTCACACAACATGCCTGCCCCGTGCCACTCAGTCCGAATCCATATGCCCCTGCACGTACACGCTCCAGCTCCCTCCCACCATCGTCAGTCCCAGACCCCGGCGGCCCTACCCGACCGACCGCGCAGCCATGGAATCCTGAAATATACGCCGTATCGAGACCGACACCACTCCTCACCTACCACCATATATCACAGCACGACCATACAACGCCACTGATCGAGCACTCCCTCCCCCGGAGCGCACTCGCAACTAACGTCTCCATGCACCCTAAAAGCGACTCATGCAGCAACAAATAGTCTACAATCAATACACACACACAAGTACTCGCTTCAAACACACACCATATATAACAAATAGCTACAGAGACCCAACGACTGAATCACTCAAAGAACAGACACAAATTAAACATCAACACGGAGTACGGCCAAAGACGAGACTCAAATATGACCTCACCACTATCACGTACACTGACGACAATGTATTCTCCTACATTTCTATTCACCGCAACTCTCCTCAGCAGACACTATCTACCTCACGATTCTCTTGCAAACACTCTCCTCACATTCTCCTACAACAAGAATGTCTTATTTTCAGACCAACACGCACAAAAAGTATCATCCGAATCGATAGATATATTTATTTTACTGTCTCCAACGCGCAAATGGAATTACTTTCTTTCTCTGCTTCCTTCTCTCTTCTCTATTTCATATTCTACCCATCTCCGTTCTCTTTCCGCTCTATTTTCTTTCGTTATATTTCTCCTGTTTTCCCCCCTCTCCTTTATAAATTTCAATTATTCCCTCTCCTGGCGTTCCTTTCTCTCTTCTCTCTCTCTCTCGCTCTCTTCTTCTTAGCTCTCGCTCTGTCCGTTTATTTTTCCTTTCTCCCCACCTTCTTCGCTTCCCTCTCATCATCCGCTTATTTAATCCCTCATGATTACCCTTCGCCTCAACATCCCTCCCTTTCCTTCCTCCTACTGCTTCTCCTCCTCCTCCTCTTCGCGTCTTCCTCATTCATCCTTGTCCACCCTTCTTCTCCCTCCTTTTTCTTTCTTTCTTCCTCCTCCTTCCTCTTTCCTCCTCTCCACTTCCTTCCTTATCCCTTTCACTCGTACCTTCTTCCGTTTCCTCCTACCTCCCTTCCTCTTTTTCCTTTCCTCCTTCCTTCCTCCTCCCTCCCTTCCTCCCTCCCTCCCTCCTCCCTTCCTCCCTCCCCTCGCCACCCCTTCTCCCTCCTCCCCCTCCCTCCCTTCCCCCATACGCTTTCCTCCCTTCCTCCTCCCTTCCTCCCTCCCATCCCTCCCTCCCTCCCCTCCTCCCTCCTCTCCTTCCCCCTCCTCCCTTCCTCACTCCCTCCCTCACCTCCCTCCCTCCCTTCCCTTTCCCTCCCTACCCTCCCCTCCCTCCCTCCCTCCCTCACCTCCCTTCCTCCTTCCTCCTTTCTCCCGCCTTCCCTCCCTCCCTACCCTTCCTCTCCTCCCTCCCCTCCCTTCCTTCCTTTCCCTCACACTCCACCTCCCTCCCTCCCTCCTTCCTCCCCTCCTCCTACCCACCTCCACATCCTACCTCCTTCCAACTACCTCACCACAATATGAGGGGACATAACAATAAGGAGACGAAAAGTACTCGACTCGAGAAGTCGATCTCCTCGAGGTTAAATGTTCAGTGATCATGTACTAAAATGAGAGCACAACCTCCCATTAATACACTAGCAAGAAGAGAAAGAAGAAGGTCTGATGAAGGCGTTTATTGACGAAGGAAGAATTAGATAGGATGAAGCATGCATAGTGAGAATGCGTGAAGATGATTGGTGGAGAAAGGTGAATAAGTAAAAGAATGATGGTGGAGATGATGGTGAGAGATGATGTGGAGATGGTGGAGATACCTTTCCGGGGTGGAGGTCGTCCGGCGGTCTGCTTTTTTTTTTTTTTTTTTTTTTTTTTTTAATTGGGGATTGAAACGGGAATTACAAGAATCAGTGGTATAAGGGAAGATTTTTTTTATCAACGAGCATAAATTCTAAATCTATATTGTACATGGATCTGGATGTCATGCTAAAGTGATAAGAGAAATTATAAATCCTTAAAGAACAAATAGAAAATCAAGAAAAAATATTATATAGCTTTATATATCTATGAACTTTTACAGCAAAATATTTTTTTATCCTAGAATATAAGACATTGTTTTATTGCACATATCTTTATGCCAATATGAATTTATCCTAGAATATAGGATGCACTCTGTTTTACTGCAAATATTTTCCTGCCCTTCTGAATCTTATCCAGAATTCGAAAATACGCGAAGAGTTTATTTAGCTAATGTACTAACAATTCAATCTTTTTGTTCTGACATTTTCTTATTTTCTTTCCACGCAATTCGTATTTTTGCAAAAGATTTCCCTTCGATCCGGCAATATTTTTAGAAGAGAAAATCTGATTCAATAAATCTACCATAACAAACACAGACAATGCGTATGCTAATTATATACGTTTATTACAAGGTACTCATGTAATGTATTTTTGCAAGCCCTCGAGCCCTCTCAGATGCGGTTGTTGAATCAGAGATTGAATGAATCATTAAATGGAAGAAAAGCGTTATTGGACAGTAGATATGTAGTTACAATATTACAAATATAATGCAATATATATGATAAATATTTAATCATTTCTAAAATATATAAAATAAATTTAATATCAATAATAATAGTATATATATATAATAAATATAATATAATGATGTAGAGTAAGACAAACTAACGTGACAAAACAAAAAATGTGTGTAGTGTGTAGTGTGTGTGTAGTGTGTTGCAAACAAAACCTGTCTGAATGGGTGATGTGTAAGTAATGAAGTGTGTCGATAGAAGACCACATCGTCATAAAATACCATATTACAATAATAGAAATATATATCATTCAATAATGCAAAATATACTATATCTATAAGTATATTAATGAAATATTTATAATTTTAATGCGTGCAACCAATGCATTTAGATCCGAGTGAACACCAAAAAAAAAAACAAACCATTCGTGATATAGAAGTGAGATATATTGTCGTAGTCAGCGTAGATGTGATGAAAAACATGACCAATGTGTGGATAGTGATAGAAAAAAAACAAAACAACCAATCGCATGCTCAAAAAAAAAAAAAAAAAACCAAAGAAAACGCATAAATAGGGATGTGTGTGTGAGTAAAAAACAAACAAAACATGTGTGTCGTGAGTGAGTGTAGTAAACCTGATGTGTGGTGTTGTTGTGTGCTTGTGGTTATTGTGATATGTCGTAGTGCTGCGGCTGCCGTGTGCGTATGCGTGTGCGTATGCGTGTGCCGTATTGGCGGATGCGCATGCGTGCATGCGTTATGTGGATGTGGATGTGGATGCTGTACGTGTGTCCGTGTGCGTGTGCGTGCGTGTATGTGCGTACCTGCGTGTATGCAATCGCACACACCGCAACACGAAGGCGCTCACCTCCTCGCCCTCCTGCCACTTCCCGTAGTGCTCCATCTCCTCGACGATCTCCCTGCAGAAGGCCTCCGAGTAGAAGGGCACGTAGTACAGGAAGGCCGCGATCTAGGGCGAGAGGGAGAGAGAGAGAGGAAGGGGAAATTACGCGAGGAAAAAGGGGTACGTCTGATTAACAGGAAGGAAGGACGATGTTGTGGGAGTTACGGTGGGGGGGGGGGGGTTATGAAAAGAATGTGAAGAGGGATTCAAGAGGGTTATTTGATGTTATTCTTGATAATATGATAATAATCTGATCGTTCTACACTCATTTTAATAAACGTAAATTTCACACCTGGAAGAAGTAGGAAAAATATTATTATTATTATTAATATGATAATAATCTGATCTCTGTTCTACACCATTTTATAAACATAAATTTCACATTGAAAAGTAGAATCGTAGATATTATATTATCATTATCATTATAGTGATAATAATAATGATAATGATAAGAAAATAATAATAATGATGATAACAATAATAATAACAAAAACACAATACAATAAAACTTGTATTCATGATTATGAGTATTATCACTATCATTACCATCACTGTTATCATCATCATTATTACCATTAATATTACCATTATCATTACTATTATCATAATCATTAATATTATTATCATTATCATTATTACTATTTACTATTATTAACAGTTTTATCATTTTCATAATTAATTATAATTATCATTATCCTTATTAATTATTATCATTATTATTATCATTTATCATTACTTTTCATTACTATTATCATAACTATTATCATTATTACCCTTATCATTATTATTATTATCATTAGCATTATTATCATTAGCATTATTATCAATATCATCATTATTATCATCAATAATAATGATGCTATTAATGACAAAGATGATAACAATTTAAATAATAATAATGATAGCAATGATAATGATAATAATATCATTCATCATCATCATCATAATAATAATCATCATCATAATAATAATAATAATAATAATAATAATAATAATAATAATAATAATAATAATAACAACAACAAAAAGCAAGCATTTTCGGAGCCAAAATACACGAGTGTACCCTCAACAAGACAAAATCCTATCACACGTTTTCTATTACCGTCAGTAACTCACTCTGTAACCCTGATGACGAAAATAAATACACAAATAAATGAATAAATAAATAAACGGTCATAGAAAATTCTGATGATGATTATGATAACAGTAATAATGATGACAAATATGATAATGAGGAAGGTGATGCGATGACGACATAGAAGATAATGAAGTTAAGCATAATGTTAATCAATAATGTTTATGACACATTAAGAAACAGACAAAAACGACTAAGTAATGGTGATGACCAGCGTAAAAATAAGGAACAAGAGAATAAAAGAAAAAAACTAAGAAAAAGAATAACGATAATGAAATACACGATAACGAACAACGCGATAACGAAATACACGATAATGAAATACACGAAAGCGAAATCCACCGTACCTGTCCACAAAATACCCTCCATACCTGAAAAGCTTTGATGTTTCCGTCAACATCCAGACTGGCCTTTATGTTGCAAATCGTTTAATCTCGAAGTAAATATACATCCTCATTTTCTTTCGTTTGCCTTTCGGATACGGAGCCAACCGTTTCCACCGACGAAACGGGAGAAAAACTTATAGAAATATTCCCGTAATCTGTGTTTATCTCTCTGTCTGTCTGTCTAAAATTCTGTCTGTCTGTTTGTACTATCTGTCTACCTGCCTGTCTGTGTGTCTCAAGGGCTGTCTGTTCCTTCTCCCCGACCCTGCCGTTTGGTTACTTCTCCGTCTTTAAGAATCTACCACTCTCTCTCTCTCTCTCTCTCTCTCTCTCTCTCTCTCTCTCTCTCTCTTTCTCTTTCTCTTTCTTTTTCTCTTTCTCTTCTCTTCTCTCTCTCTCTCTCTCTCTCTCTTCTCTCTCTCTCTCTCTCTCTCTCTCTTCTTATATATATATATAATATATATAATATATATATATATATAATATATATATATATACATATATATAATATTTTTTTTTTTTTTTTTTTTTTTTCATCCTCCCTCTCTTTCTCCCTCCCTCCTCTCTCTCCTCTCCCTTCCCTCTTCTTCCCTTCTCTCTCTCCCTTCCCTCTCTCTTCCTCCCTCTCTCTCCCTCCCTCTCTCCTCCCTCCCTATCTCTCTCCCTCCCTCCCTATCTATCTCCCTCCCTCCCTATCTCTCCCCTCCTCTCCCTCCCACTCTTTAATTTTCCCTCCCTCTCGATACCATCTCTCACTTCCCCTCCTTTATTTCCCTCCCTTTCTCTCTCCCTCACTTTCCCTCCCTCTCGCTTTCCCTCCTTATTTTCCTTCCCTCTCACATTCCATCCTTATCTTATCTCCCTCTCGCTTTCCCTTTCCCTCACTTTCTCTCCTTCTCGCTTTCCTTCTTTATTTTCCCTCTCACTTTCCATCCTTATCTTATCTCCCTCTCGCTTTCTCTACTTATTGTCCCTCTTTCTCCTTGTCTTTTTAACTCCCTCCCACTTTCCCTCCCTCTCACCTTCCATCCTTATTTTCTCTCCCTCTCGCTTTCCCTCCTTATGTCCCTCCCTTTTACTTTCCTCTCCCTCCCCAACCTACAAAAAATCTCAGTCGTGAAAATAGGCCTAAATCGAGAGGAAGTGAGAACTTAGCTTTAATTGAAACCATCTGTGTTGTCATCTGCGACCGTGGGAGTAACTCAATAACTTTTTTCCTCTCTATCTCTTTTCTCTGCAGTTTTTCCAATGCTCTCCTTTTTTCTCTTTCTTTCTTTTCTTTCTCTCTCTCTCTCTCTCTCTCTCTCTCTCCTCTCTCTCTCTCTCTCTCTCTCTCTCTCTCTCTCTCTCTCTCTCTCTCTCTCATATATCTATCTTTCTTTATCTTTCTTCTCTCTCTCTTCTTCTTTCTCTTTCTTTATCTCTGCTCTCTCTTTCTCTTTCTTTCTCTCTCTTTCTCTTTTTTTCCTTTCTCTCTCTTACACTCTCTCCCTCCCTCTTATCCTCTCTTCCTCACCCTATCTTTCTCCCTCTCCTCGCCCTCGCCCTCTCTCCCTTTCCTTCTCCCTCCCCCTCCCTCTCCTTCTCCATCACCCTCACCCTCTCCTTCTCCATCACCCTCACCCACTCCCTCTCCTCCGTCTTCCTCTGCCTCACCATCGCCAACGGAAACACATTCTTTTTTCCTTGCTCCCATTCATTCGTTCTCTTTCTCTTCCCCTTTCTCTCTGCCTCGAGCGGATTGTGGTCATTATTGGTTTCCTTTCCTCTGCCGAATCACCCGACTTTTCTGCTTCAGTGTGATGTTTTTAGATATAAAACATATATCTAATATATTTCTTTTCTCTAATTTTCTTTCTTTCTTTTAGATATAAAACATATATCTAATATATCTATTTTCTCTAATTTTCTTCCTTTCTTTTAGATATAAAACATATATTTAATATATTTCTTTTCTCTAAATTCTTCTTCTCTTTCTTTTAGATATTAAACATATATCAAATATATTTCTTTTCTCTAATTTTCTTCCTTTCTTTCTTTTAAATATAAAATATATATCTAATATATTTTTTCTCTCTAATTTTCTTTCTTTCTTCCTTTTAGATATAAAACATATATCTATTATATTTCTCTTCTTTAATTTTCCTTTTCTTTCTTTTAGATATAAACATTTATCTATTTTAATTTCTCTATTTTCTTCCTCTTCTTTTATATAAAAAATATTCTAATAATTTTCTCTATTTTTCTTTTTCTTCCTTTTAGATATAAAACATATATCTATTATATTTCTTTTCTAAAATTTTCCTTTTCTTTCTTTTAGATATAAAACATTTAGCAAATATATTTCTTTTCTCCAATTTTCTTCCTTTCTTTCTTAAATATAAAATTTTTCTCTCTAATTTTCTTTCTTTCTTCCTTTTCTTTCTTTTAGATATAAAACATTTATCAAGTATATTTCTTTTCTCTAATTTTCTTCCTTTCTTTCTGTTAAATATAATATATATATATATTATATTTCTTTTCTAAAATTTTCTTTCTTTCTTTTAGATATAAAATACGCGCTGTCTCCTGCAGTGACATCTGTGCTTTATACCTCTATGCACAGATTAAGAAACTTTTGGATGAAGTTTCCAGAAAGTGACGATAACCTTCATATTATCTCACTCGTGGAAATATTACATCTTTATTTCTGTCATTTAATTTACCTTAATTAATATAGAGCTAGCCGTGTGTAAGTGTGTGTGTGTGTGTGTGTGTGTGTGAGTGTGTGTGTGTGTGTGTGTGTGTGTGTGTGTGTGTGTGTGTGTGGTGTGTGTGTGTGTGTGTGTGTGTGTGTGTGTGTGTGTGTGTGTGTGTGGTGTGTGGGTGTGCGGTGTGCGTGTGCGTGCGTGAGAGAGAGAGAGAAGAGAGAGAGAGAGAGAAGAGAGAGAGAGAGAGAGAGAGAGAGAGAGAGAGAGAGAGAGAAAGAGAGAAAGAGAGAGAGAGAGAGAGAGAGAGAGAAGAGAGAGAGAGAGAGAGAGAGAGAGAGAGAGAGAGAGCGAGAGAGAGAGAGAGAGAGAGAGAGAGAGAGAGAGAGAGAGAGAGAGAGAGAGAGAGAGAGAAGAGAGAGAGAGAGAGAGAGAGAGAAGAGAGAGTGAGAGAGTGAGAGCATCCTCCCCTGTGCCTGATATCCTTACAGGGTCTCTCCTCTCTCACAAAACCCCGAGACCCTTACTCCATCAGGGTATTAATTCAACCAGGGGAGTGCTTGCCCCTTGAGCTCCCCTTCGCCCTTCGGTTTTATTCATTCTCTGAGAAAATAAATAGATAAATGAAATAAAAGTGCCCGGAATGTAGTATCCTTCCCTGTGTGTATGTGCATGTAAGTTAAGATGTAAAACTGTAAGTACTTATGGATTTACCTGTCTATATAAATGTGGAAGGAAATGGATACACAAGTATGAACAACTATACCAAAATCTTGATCCATGATGAGAGCGAATGACTCTAGCCAATCATCTTTTCTTTCTCCTTTTCTCTTTCTTTTTTTCCTTTCTTTATTCCTTTTTAAATCTTAAAAGCACATATTCTCTAAGCACTGCAAATTATGTCTTTTTTCAGCAGGATAATGTCCAAAGATAAGAACATTTCCGCCAAACAAAATCGTACCTTTGCTTAAGCTACGGTCACACTAGTCTTCTCTGACCTGGGATCCCATCTTCGGGCTCGAGCTCGGACGTGGGCAGACCTTTACCTCCCGAAGGGGAGGGTGTGTCTGGGGGGCCTTCTGTTAAGCCTTTGGGTGGCTTCGCAAAATACAGCCAACACAGAGGTGTCATCCTCTTGCTCAAAACCATGAAAGACCCCTAGTCATTCTTGTCCTCGGGTGGCCCCCTCTCCCTCTCGTTGAGGCGGCCCTCCCTATGAACTAACATACTAGAAGGGGTCATAGCCGAAATAGAGGTGTCATCCTCTCATGAAAGACCCTCCAGTGACTCTGGTCCTTGGGTGGCCCCCTCTCCCTCTCGTTGAGGCGGCCCTCCCCTTAGACAGACCTACTGGAAGGGGCCTTAGCCAAAATAGAGGTGTCATCCTCTCACAAACCCAACTCAACCTCCTAGGCTGGCTGGTCTTGGGAGTGCTCCCTCTTCCTCCCGCTGAGGCAGCCGCCCCCATTGACTAACATCTAGGAAGAGCTGAGCCCCACTTTCAATGATGCTTACCCAGTAGGAGGGTCTGCATCCCCTCTGGTCTCTCTCCAGAGGTTCTATGTCCTACCCATGCGTTTGCCATGCATGGCAGCCCTGTGCACTGAGGAGACGGGAGTCCTAGAGCTTGAGCGATGCCGTGAATGAGTACGCCCTGTGGCTAGCAACACGCCTCTTTGGTCCTCAATTCCAGCAAGACGGGCGGCCTGACTGGCCCGATCAGATCAAGGAAAGATTCAGTCATGAAAGTCATGACAGGGAGACACATAGGAGCAGGACACAAAGTACTCAGATCATTCTATGTACATGCTGTCCGTCCTATTATTGACTATGCATCTGTCGCCCTCATTGCTTCCAGCACAACATTAAAAGAAAAACTGGAAACAATACAAAATGAAGCTGCCAGGATCATTCTGGGAGCATCCAGATGGACAAAGGTCATCAACCTCCTCATGGAAGCTGATTTACCGTCACTGGACACCCGAATTGATTTAATGGCAGCACAGTTCCTTTCCAAGGTCTTGCAGGCACCCAGAAATTCATACTTAAGGCAAAGAGTACTCAGACGCCTACAACAAGACTACCATTTGTTTGTGGACAACTCTTGGCTCACACACAGCCAGAGTATTGATAGCTAAAAGAATCATTGCTTGCCAAGAGCATGGACTCCCCTCACCCTGACTACAAAGAACCCCTGCCGCGGGCAAACGGAATGATCGAATTCTCAGTCCTAAACTTCACAATGAGAAAAGATCAATATTCCATGCCTAGCCTAAAGGCACAAGCACAAAGGGTCACTGCTCAAATAACTCCTCCGGGTAGCATAACCTACTACACGGACGGATCCGTGGATCCCATAAACCACACTGCAGGCACCGGCTTCGCAACAGTATCCATTAGGGTCACTGACAATGCCTCCTCGCTCCAAGCTGAAACGGTTGCGATCATGGAAGCCCTGACACACGCGTCCCTAAGGACAGGACACGTTGTCATTCACACAGATTCTAGAGCAGCTATTGACAGTTTACAGCATAGCATGCCCCAAGACATCTACCTCCTGAAATCTGTACTAAACATAGCCCAAAGAATTCTCAGTCAGGGTAGAAGAATTATCATTAACTGGGTCCCAAGCCACATCGGCATTCACGGGAACGAGCTTGCTGACAAACTAGCTGAAAAGGGCAGGGGTATGCCCCCATCCTCCATGATCGTTAAACCTACCCGAAGGAGACTAAGCCAAAGTACCAAAGCTGCAGCATGTGCAGTCGTCCAGGGAGCACATAGAGAAAATATCACAAATTCGTTCGCTGCCAAGTGGTACTCAGATGCTTCAGGCTATGAGCCACTAACCCTTCCTCCAAATACAAAAAGAGGTACCGAAGTCATATTACACACTCTAAGACTAGGTTACCCATGCGCTTGGCAAATTATTGATGACGAGACTGCCAGGTTATGCAAACACTGCGGCGAGTCTAACACCACCCTGTTACATTACTTGCATAATTGTTAACACACAATTTCTAAGACAGGGACCATCCACTACAGCCGCCGGGCTGGTAAAAAGGGTTTGCCACATGCTTATTCCGTGGCAGATGGATCGCTTGCTCGCAATTCAGCCACCACGATAAGCATATAGTTCAAAGAAAACACATGAGTTAACTAGAAATAGTTGACACAGGCCGGGCCACTCAAGAGAAAAGGCCTGGGCGAAGCATGACCGCAAATCTAACTGAACTGAACTGAGACTTCGTCGACTGTCTCGGGATCCCAAGACAGAGAAGACTAGTGTGACCATGGCTTTAGTCAGAGCTGTTATGTATCGATTTGTCTTTCACCTCTTCGTCTTTCATCCGCCAGACCCTAGGTATCATTCATGTTCAACAGATCTTTGTTGTTTTATTCAATAAGAAGACGATATCTTCCAACGTAGAATTCGCGTCCCTAAGACAATATAATTTTGCCAAGGAGAGTAAAAGTGTGTGGTTTTGGTGTGTTGTTTTTCTTTTGAAGGAGACTGTACATACACGTTCTTCGCTTTTCAGTGAGAAAACAGTTAAAGACAAACAACTCGAGCTCATCAAGAAGAAAAAACACTCTACCAGGGCCTTCGTTGCAAGTTCAACATTTGTGCTTCGTTTCTGCTCTCATTTTGCAACCTCTTTGGCAACAATCGTCGGTTGATGGCGGTCGTTATAACGTCCGTTTGTAACCGTCGGAAAACTTTTAAATTCTTTAATACTGTCCGATCTTTTTCTTTTTTCCTTCTGATTCCCCTTCCTTCTTTTCCGTCGGCATTTTCTTAATCTTCGTTTTTCCATTTAATGTTTTTTCTTTTTATTCTTTCCTTTTTCCTGTTGTTTGTTACGCTGATCATTATTATTTATTTTTGTCTATTTCTCAATACATCATTATTTTCATCATCATCATCACCATCATTACCTCCACTATCATCATCGCATCACCATCATTTATCATATTCCATGATTATCATTGTTATCATTTACAAGGATAGTGGATCCAGTTGTATGATTCGTCGCCAGTGCAGTTTGTGATAGAAAACGTTTGATAGGATTTTTTTCTTCTTAAAATTGTTGTATAATTATGCATTTTCGTGCTGAAGAATCGGGCGTTGATTGAGCGCCTAAGTTATTATTGTTATTTTTATTATCAATATCATTACTGTCATCATTACTACCACCATCATCATGATCATTATTATCATCACTATCATCATCTCACCTACCATACAACCCCACCCAACCCTCAACCTTCCCTATAAAACTCCCCCTC